TGTATCTTTTCTACCTTTGAACATGTTGCAAGAGGAATCTTCCCATACTGCATATAGAAGAAAGGTATTGAGGCTATCACCAATTAGGCTAAGATGATTATGCCAACTTGAGATAAGCATGACGATTGCCACCCACCATCATCTCTTTTGCTCTATCCACTATATTGTGTAACTTTGTTTTGTCACCCTCCCATGTTGAATCAATGATCCTAAGTAATGTCCAAAGTTGTGTAAGCGCTTAACTCCACTTACCTTAGTTATTCTGATGGTAGTTTTTTCAGGTGTCTTTTTAGAGAAGAATATTCATGTTTTGTGATCACTAACCTCCCATTCTTATATTTCACCAAACAAACTCAAGCATCTCATTTTTACTTTTTAAATGAATAATATAAAAAATTTGTTATTTCCCTTGTGGTTCTTTTAATGCATATTTATAGAATTTTTCGTTATATATTTATACGAAAAATAAATGTCTTATTTCATTTTAATGAATATTGACACATATAACAGACTAAAAACGAAGACATTATAATCAATAGTAATTATATTTAGATGGATTAAAATAAAAAATTATTATATTTAGATAAAATAAATTTATATTGAATTTATAACTTATTTATCCTCAACACGTGAATCATGTTTAGATATGTATATTTAGAGATAACATGAGGTTATGCTTGAACTTTCATAGAACAGATCTGGTGGCAGTGGTTGCAAGATGTTTCCCCGTAAGCTTTAGCGGAACAAGGGAATGGTGAACCTGCAAGGCACTTTTGCTGGACGTTTCCTCCTTAACCTGGCTTATGTTGGCAAGATTTTTCTAATGCTCACATGCCAATACTATTCATTCATTGAAAGTTTGCAAATGAGTTTTGTCTTCAATCAAATTGCAAGTGGATGGTGCTTACAAATCACATGGTGCACTATTCTAATTGCGGAAAGCCAAGAGAATACAGAGGAGCTTCTAACACGGAATAGAGAGATTGCTAGCATGTAAATAGGAAGTATTGCAACATGATTCATCATCTAATTGCATCGGGAATAATTTACAGAAAGAGAGTTCCTCTTAGAGAGAGAGTTCCACCATATAGGTGAGAGAGAAATCCTATATGATCAAACAACAATGATCAACAACATTCACATAATACTCATCAACTTCAAAATAATAATAACCAATAAAATCACTTAGACCTATGGCTATTTTTCCATTTATCTCAACTATCTCAATCACTTTAATCCTTGAACTAACTCATCATTATAACCATTTATGCACTAAGGCACCAACCATCGATTTTACAATACTTTTCACACCATTTCCATCCAATTTTCTTTATATGTCGAATTACCACATAAACCATACATCCCACCTTATTCCTTCCAATTTCACTACATCACAAAATTCTATCATCTATCTAAACACCGTTTACCACCAGACAACATCAATTATACTACTTTTACATTATCAAATCATCCATGACCACAATAGGTCGAATTGTTCATGTTAGGGTCCCAAAGGATTTTCAATTCATTCCCACACTTCTACACATCATACAATCTTATAATTCACTCATACAATTATTCCACAACTCAATTACCCAATCCTATCATCATGCCATTTCACAAAATCATCAATATCCACTCCAATTTTCACTTAGTTATAATTTTTCAAATCACAATAATTTTTATTACATCAATCATCATCAATTATCATTCTAAGCATTTAATTCCAAAGGAGCAACATCATTAAAATCCCCTAACCATATCAACCAGCCAACACATAATCAAACACAAAACCCAATTTATGATTTCAATTAAAACTCCATGAGAGTGTGAAAACTTACCATCAATCAACTCCTAAGCAACCCAAGAACAAGTTTCAACACTTGAACGGTCCAAAACCGCCACCAACCACCACCATTTTCATCAAAACCGCCACCCACCATAGAAAATGATCTCCTTGCACACTCAATTTCGTGGCTCACTCAAGGAAGGAAAGATGTTCACAAGGTGATTTAGAACAACTTTGATGTTTTACACTTTTGGATTTGAGTGAGTTTTGGTTGATTGAAGTTTTGAGCAAAAACTTGCTCAATAACAATGGTGTTCGCGGGTTGAAGAAGAGAGGAGGAGAGAGAGTGTTCATAATTTTTGTTCCAAATGGTCATTTACTCACTTAAAACACATATGTGGGTCCCACATGTCATTTAACTTTATTAAATCACCCAATTTAACCCACAAATTCGTAACCTACGTATTTTTCTCGTTCACGTCATATTTTTACTTCCTAAAAATACTGATAATAATTTCACGCTTATCGGTACTATTATACCGCAGTATTTTACACCGGTAAAATCACTATTCATCAAATTTTTTGAAACTTGTCTATCCACTCGATTTTTTGTTCTGAATCCATTTTCGGCATTTTTTTTTACCATTTGAGGTCTTCTACCCAATTTTTCATGTCTCGGGTTACGTGTTTGGTAAATTACCATTTTACCCTTCTTATGCAATTTGACCCCAAACTCAGGATTTTCACTAATCCTACCATTTAATCATCATTATCTCATATAATTATACATTTAAAAATATGAGGTGTTATACATACCAACCTGAACTGGTCAGACATGATGACCAAGACAGTTCCAACATGGAAGTTTGAAGACTACTACAAAGGTGCTGACATAATAACTCCATTTAATTAGGTCAGAAAGGGGGAGATTTGTTGGACGTTTCCTCCTTAACGTAACTTGTGTTGGCAAGATTTTTCTAATGCCCACATGCCAATACTATTCATTCATTGAAAGTTTGCAAATGAGTTTTGTCTTCAATCAAATATCAAGTGGATGGAGCTTACAAATCATATAGTGCACTATTCTGATTGCGAAAAGCTGAGAGAACATGGAGGAGCTTCTAACACGGAATGTAGAAATCGCTTGCCAATAAATAGGCAGTGTTGCAAATTAGTTCATCATCTAATTGCATTGAAAGCAATTTAGATAAAAAGAGTTCCTCTTAAAGAGAGAGAGTTCCATCATATAGGTGAGAGAGAAATCCTTAAAGTGAAAGATAAAAGTGTTGTAAACTATCCTTAGTGGGTAAGGTGTTTGTGTGTGAACCTCTAGTCTTGTAGTAGAGAGATTGTATTCGTAATCTACTTTCATACTGGAAGATTTCTTGGACTTAATGGTCCCGTGGTTTTTACTTCTCACATTGAGGGGGTTTTCCACGTTAAAATTGCTTTGTGTTCTCTGTGTTTTTTTTCTACTTCTTTATTTTCCCATCTTGCTATAGGTTTACTTCACTTCAGCAAATAGAAGTTGTTACAAACCCAATAACTTTGACGTTCAAGTGAGTAATAGTCGTAAACGCAAGATTGTTATTTGTTGTTTGATGAATGAGGATGAAGACCCTTCTTATATATAGCGATTGTCAACAATCCCCAAAGGTATACGATTTTTCCCTTAATCAATAAATCCATGGGTAAATTTTCCCTTCTTATATATAGCAGATGCATGATATTTATCTGATCCACACAAAGCTAGACCCCAAATAGGATATTTATTCACAAGTGGAAGCATAGCTATTTCATGGCGTTCAACAAAGCAAACTATAGCAGCCACTTCTTCAAACCATGCACAGATAATAGCGATTGATGGGCAAAGGTCAATGACGCAACACATCCAAAAAACATGCGGTCTCCAGTTAGAAAAAGAGGTTCCAACAATATTGCACGAAAATAATGCTGCTTGTATAGCTCAATTAAAGAAAGGATACATCAAAATTGACAGAACGAAGCATATTTCACCAAAATTCCTCTTCGCTCGTGATCTTCAACAAAATGGTGAAATTGATGTTCAACAAATTTGTTCAAGTGATAATTTGGCAGATTTATTTACCAAGACATTACCTACTTTAAGTTTTGAGAAGCTCGTATACAAGATTATGATGCGTAAACTTAGAGATATTAAATAACGTAATAAGGGGAAGTAAAATACGTGCTGCACTCTTTTATCTTCATAATGATTTTGTCCCATTGGGTTTTCTTGATAAGTTTTTCATGAGGCAACTTCTAGTACGTATTTCTTCTCAATAGGATTATTGGACATCCAATGAGGAGTGTTATAAACAATTTGACTATTGACTATCTATGTCCATTATATAATTGTTATGATCATTGGAGAAGTAATTGTAGTTAATGATGTTATTGTAACTTTCATGTCTTATGAGCCTATAAATAAGGCATGTACAAAGCATTATGTATGTACACATATACAATAAGCACCTATTCCCCCTATCTCTTAAAAAATTATATAGAATAATAGAACTTTTAAGTAGCATGTTAAAGACAAATAAAATTTTAATCTAAGATCTATGTTATCATCCATTATATTAAATTAATTATGAGTTCGCTTTTTCTAAAGTTACTTTAGACAACTTTATCTAATGTTCATCGAAATGACATTGTTTTAGGGCAGAAATAATGATGTATTTATAATTTTAATTTATTTTAGAATTATAATAGTCTCTATTAATTTATTTTAGAATTATAATAGTTTCTATTATTCTATTTTTTTCAATTTTTCTATCCAAAACGATATCATTTCGATGAACATTAGATAAAATTATCTATAGTAATGTTAAATACTTTTTTCTCATTATTTATATAAGGAAAAAGTGTTTGTCATTTTAAATGATATAACACTCTGTCCTTTTAAGAGAGAGACAGACACATAAATTTTTTTTTATTTAAATTTTAAATTAAAAAAAACCATCCACTTTCTCTCTCCCATGATTTTCATTTTTTTGTGTCCATCTCTCTCCTAAAATGACATAACTTATATCATTTAAAATGACAAACACCAAACCTTTTATATAATATACTATTTAAAATTTTAAAATAAAGTGTGATGTGATGGACACATATAAAGTGAAGTATTATCATAAAAAAGCAGGATGCAAAATTATGTGCAATAAGCGCGTAGATTTGTGGTAGGTAGGGAATAGGGATGGAATAATGCGTACCCATTGAGGGAAGAAGGAAGCACAGTCAATGAGTCAAGAGAGAGAAAAGGGAAAGAGAGAAGAGAAGAGGTTGTCTCAGCCTCAGACACAGACACAGACAGAAATAGAAGGAACCCTTAACCTTACATCGGATTTCGATTTCCCTATTTTCCTTCCCTGTCTTTCTTTTTTTCACGCCATTCCCGCCATCTCTTCTCACACAACCCGCAATCGATTCCAATTCTCTTTGATTCATCCTCAACAATTCCCTTACAATAATTCAATTTCTCTGTTCCTTCAGAAATTTATAACGAGTAATCAATCTCACTCTTTCTGGTGATTTCATTTCAGCTGTTCTTACCTCACCCTAAATAAATTCTACTTTGCAATTATCTATTCACATTCTTCGTTCAAATTCAACCGCTTGAAGTTTTGAACAATGGACGAGTTTGGTGTGTTGACCGAAAGGTTTGGGTTGAAACCGCAAGGAAAATCGGCTCCAATGGCGTCATCAAAGCGACCCACAAATGTCGGTGATTCTTCTCGCACAGCAACATTTGGGACCAATTCGGGTCTAAACCCCAAATCTTCACAAAACGGATCCAGATCTCATCAAAATTCCACTTTTGATTTTGATTACGGTTCTTCCCTCGATGATCTCAACAGTGTTCTCAGCAGCAGCAATAAGAAAACACAACATTCTTGGGGTCCTGACGATGGCATTGATGATATATTTGGTGGAAACGCCAAATCGAATGTCGCCAATGACGTTTTGTTTGACTATGATTCGATATTTGCGGGATCGAATAAATCGGTTTCCACGTCTTCATCGTCGCCTGTTTATGTGGATGACATATTCGGTGGAATGCCTGAGCAGAATGATCCACTAGATAAGATTGGTGGACTACATGCAAATGCTAAAAGTTCGAATGAGAAAGCACCTGATTTTGATGACTTGATACCTGGGTTTGGTGGAAGCAGTGTTTCAAATAATGGGTATGGAACTTTGTCTTTAATTCCTGTTTACTCTTCGTAATCGATGCTCTAGGAGGTTGAGTTCACTAGCAATTAGCATAGATTTTGTTCTTCTTCACTACTGCACGTCTATATTTTGAGGTGTAAAATTTGTACCTTCTTAATTTCTTTTATTTATACCTTGCAGTCTCTTAATTTATTTGTGTACAAATTAGTTCTGATATTTATGAAATTCATATCATGTTAGTCTTTCCAGCATCTCTGGTTGACCAAGTCAAGGAACTAACATGATACAAGTTTTATAAATTCAGGGACTAACTCTTACACATAAATAAATTCAGGGACTAAACTGCGAGTAAGGAATGAGGGATCTAGTGGCCTATTTTACTCTATTAACTTCCTTATAATGGTTTTGCCAAAAAAGAAATTCCTTATAATAACACAAAATAGGAGTGCCTACTAGCATCATGTGACTGCGATTGACAAGTTTTTAGCGGTTCTTATTTGTATAGAATATGTGCTCTTAGCAAGCTTTGCGAGGTATTAGAGAAAAATAAAAACATTGTGTAAGTAGGATATAAGCATTACTTTCCCGGTAAAGCTTACTGATATGTTGTATATTCTTGCATTTTGGAAGGAAATATTTGGGATTAACATGAGAGGCACTCTGCTGGGGATGGTGCTTTACAGAGATCAATTTAGATAGATCTTTTGTGGCTTATATTTCTGGGAGTGTCATACCCATGGTTGTCAAACTCTCGAGTAAACTCGCAAACTCTAACGAGTTTACGCTTCTGGTCACCTCACCGTTCCCGTTTAACTGCAAACTCGCTTTTGGCACTCAAATGGTAGAAGCGCTGTGTTTTTTGGCAAACTCTTAAACTCTTACGAGTTTAACGATTTCAAAGAAATGGAGAAAAACCCATGGACCCGAAAATTTGACCCGAAACCCATCGTATAAATGGGTTTTTTAACACAAAATACCCTAATACCTTGTTTCAGCCGCCACCTCCTTGCTCCGTCGCGCGACTCCTGCTCCACCGTCTTCTCCTACGTGCTTCGTCGTCGTCCTTCCGCTTCTCCGCTTTCTTCTCTTCCAATTTCTCCACGGAGGGCTTTGTGGAGTATTTGGGAGCCCCGAAGTCATGGGAGGTGGCCGATTTGGACGAGTCCATGAAGCGCTTGAACCTGATGGTCTCCTCCAACAAAGATTCTCAGCATCGCAAGCATGCAAATGATGCTCCACCACCACCCCAATCTCTTCTCTGCTTTGTTTTGTTTCTTTTTATTTTTTTGCCTCTGTTTCGTTTTTTTGTGTGCCTCTGTTTGTCGTTTCGTTTATAATTTTTTTCTCTCTCTAAAATATGCACAGTATATTGTTAGTAAGGAATCATGTTTTATTACTTTATTTAATTGTATTGATAATTATATGAAATTTGTAATGTGAATGTAAAATATTTTACACTTATAATACATGAAAGTTAAATTTAACATTAAAGGGCCGACCCAGTTCAAATACCCACTTCGTGAGTGTCTGGGGAAGGGAATACTCTAGGCAGTCTTTCCCCTGCTTTTTGCAGAGAGGCTGATTCGAACCCGCGACCTGACACACCACGGCAAGGAATCATGTGTTAAAATTTAACATTATGTATGTATATTAATAACTCATTTTTTATTTAAAAATCAATAGTGATATTAAAAGAAAACATATTTGATATTAAATTTTAAGTAAAAAAATTAAATATAACTAACATAACTCTGAATATGGATTTTAAGAAAAACATATTTGATATTTTGTTTTGGATTTTGATCTTTTGTGCTATGACTTTATATGTTTGAGACATTATGTGATTATGACTATTGTATGACATTATTTTGCTGGTTGGTTGAATTAAATTTGCTTATTATATTACTTTATATGCATATAAATATAATTTGTATCTCGTGTTACGATTCTACGATCCGTGTTACGATTCTGCGATTTACGATTTTGGTTTACCCTTCTGAGTTTGCATAGACTCTCGAGTTTGACAACCTTGGTCATACCTCATAAGGTTAATTATGAATTTAGTTTTAGCAATGTACTTGAATTGTGAGTGTGACAATCATGTTTATTATTTTGTTGTTGCTATATATTTTTGCACCTTTTCAGCCCATGATTTGTTGAAACACACAGACTCCACATCCTCATTCTGAGGGTTTACAGAAATTTGGATGCATTACCTACATTTCTGGTAATGTGCGTTGGCTGATCCTGGAACTGAACCAAGTCGTTGCTTGTAGTAGTATTCCAAACGTTGAAGCTATGGATGCCTGCTTCTCGATACCAATATTATTCTGGAATATCTTGTATTGTTCTTCCTAATAATTTCTTAGTACAATGTAACACTTTTTTCTAACTGCAAGTGATTTAAGTTGTTTATCACTTAAATTAAACATAAAGGCATACATCTTTCTCTGACCATTTTAATTGTTAGGTGTCATCCTTTTGTTTGGTTTCACTGTCTCTTAATGTGTCAATCATTTTTTTTTTCAGTAAAGCAAGTAATGGGATGAATAACCTTCGTGAACCAACTGTACCTTCAAACAAAACTACTGTCATGTCTCACACTGATCCATTTTTAGTATTTGAAACTGCTTCAAGCACAGCTTCTTCAGAATCATTCCTGGACTCACTGGAACAGATAAGTAAGTTAAACAATTCTAAAGGTACAAGAGGCAGCTCCAGTACCTCCCCATCATTGAGGTCTCCACCTAAGCCAACGGATGTTTCAAACTCAGGTAAAGGTTCTTCTAAATACTTGAGCTAAAAGACATGAGTAGCCATCTTTTTCTATTATTGACTTTACTTGTGGTTTTCTGAGATGCAGTTAACAACTCAAGTATGTCATCGATAGATGAGCTCGAGGACTTTGCCATGGGCCGGGTGCAGAATAATGCTAGTAGAAAGGCCAATGTTAATACTGATGAGATTAAACAAAACTCAGTGGCTAAGACAAACAATGGCAAAAGGGATCCAGCTGCAAGAATGAATCAATTAAATAACACAGATTATCTTGAATCCTTTTTCAGCACGGGTTCTCGATCAAGCAGTGTACCAAAGTCAAGGACTGCAACTATGGTAAAAGTTATTAATATAATAAGCTCTAATTATTTTGCTACAGTAAAAGACTATATTCAGTGTCTTTTGCTGATGCATTGCTTAGGATCATACGTTTGATCACCAAATGAACAACAAAGGGAAACCTGAGGTGTCACAAAGGGTGCCATCTGGATTTTCATCCAGTGTGAAGAAACCTTCTGTGATGACATCTCTTGATGACCTCTCATTGATTTTTGGGGGTAAGTTGTTTAAATTTATCGATTATTATCACAGTAAAGTGATTTTGTTGTCAGCTTATCACATTTTTTTGTTTGCAAAAGCTTCCCCATCATCTGAATTCGAGGAAGTTGAAGGAGAAACTGAAGAAAGACGAAACGCAAGATTGGGACGTCATCAGAGAACCCAAGAGCGAGCGGTGTGTATCATTATCTTGTCATTTCTCCTAATTTCTATTTATTAGAAAAGGGGGGCTCATCAATGCAAATCACATGTTATCTTTTTATAGCTTCCTTCTTAACATTTTTTGTGATATTGTATTTTCTGAATTGATTTGATTGTCGAATCTTTTGCTTAATGATCCCCTATGGAGACCAGCATTGGATATTTTCTTTAATAACTTAAAAGCACATATGACGTTTTCGTAGTTCGTTCTGGACATTGACCTTATTTATCCTTTTATTACAGGTTTTATTGAAATAATTTCTCACTGGACAAATTTTTTTTTTCTTTCTCTTCTGCCTGTCATATTTTCAGTTAAAAGCAGTGGCTGATATGAACCAGCGTGACCTTCAAACTAAGATGGAGCAAGAAGAGAGGCGTGTAAGTTTTATAGTGTTTTTGTTTGGATTGTAATTTATCTCCAAGGATAATCATGGTAGAATTCTCCTTAATTCTTTTGTTTTTATTTTATATATTTGTCAGATTTTCTTAGTGTGATATTTTATTTTAATTTGGCAGAGAATTGCTGATACTGCTGATGTTCAGATAAAGCGATGGGCTGCAGGGAAAGAAGGCAATATGCGGGCATTGCTATCAACCTTACAATATGTATACTCTTTTACCATAGTTATTGATAATTGTCAATAACTAATTTCACTACAGGGCTCTTGAACATACCGCTTTTGCCCTGTACTCTGATTTGCTTTCATAGTGAATATCCTGATGTAAGAAAATATAATTAAAAAGGAAATGGAAACATTAGGTTGTTTGACTTTTTTATATGACAGATAGGCATTTATAACCAAGGTTCAGAATAGCTGTAACTTGGAATTCTTGGGCAGAATGATTAAATCCATTCTAAAATGTTAAGAGATGGAAAAATGAAGAGATGGTACACCATATATAGATGAAATTATTTAGAACTTTATTTTCAATCATTGTGTATTGTGACTCTTGTCTTATCAAATGTTCTGTTTATTTTGTATGTGTTTCAATTGTTTGTAATTTTGTTGAACCAACATGGTGGATCAAATGGAATGTGTTCAATGGAAACTACGTGAAGTCGTACTTACTGGTCATATCCGACCATAAGTTTCTTTTAGTAAGGGAGTGAGAACTATAAATAATTATTTGAAAATAAAGATACCATTGATTGTACTATTTGGCATTTTATGTGTAGTACAAGCCCTTGGTTAAGTGGAGGCTTTTGCCTTGTCAAAACTCTCCTCATTGATTCAAGATCTTATTTAACAAGAAGATGATGTACCTTCTCTTGTTCTTTTGTTTCCTTTTAGTGATAAATAATACTTGAACTAATAAATTGTTTTTATGTTGTTTTTGCATCGTAAAACAAATTTGTTTTATTCCATGATTCTTTCTTACCCTTGAATTTATATTTAGGTTCTTTGGCCAGAATGTGGTTGGGAGCCGATCTCTTTGACAGATATGATTACTTCCTCTTCAGTTAAAAAGGTTTATAGAAAAGCAACGTTATGCATTCACCCAGATAAAGTCCAACAGAAAGGTGCTAATCTCGAACAGAAATATACTGCAGAGAAGGTTTTTGACATCCTTAAGGTACCTTGTTTATTTATAAAGAAACAATGTACTTTACCTAGAAGTCCATAGGACTGCATACCCTTTTTATCCCTTCTCTTAAATGTTGAAATTTTTCCACAGGGTTGATTGACCATTTTGCCCCCTTTTAAAATTAATTTATCACTTTATCCCCTTCTCAAACTATATCCCAATCTACCTCTTTTCTCAACCTATATACTAATCTATCCCTGTTTGAACAATGTTTGACCGACACTATTGGACCTATCTATCCATTTACTTGAATAAGTGTCGGTCAAACATTTATTAAACAGGGACATATTGATATAAAGTTTGGGAAACGGGCCAATTTTTTTTCAAAACAAAGGTAAAATGGTCAATCAACAACTGTGTTTTACTCTTACCATATGCAATGTAAGTCTGCATAATTCTATTCAGCTACTGCTAGCTGGATTTACATTAATCCCCTTCATTAATCTGAACATATGAGTCTTCCTTTCTACTGCTCTAGAGAATTCAAGTGTTGGATACTCGATATTTGCTTCAGTAAATCTCTCCTTCCCCACCACGAAGAAAAAAAAAACTTAAAACCTTAACATATTTACATCAATTTTATTTTATATTTTTTGATAAAAGTATATCTAACAATTTTTTTTTCACACTAATTATTTTTTATTGAAATATAATAACTGTATTACTTTTTCTTATATTTATTCTACTGATCTTAAAACAGGAAGCTTGGAACAAATTCAATGCAGAAGAGCTTTCTTAGATCCCTTCTCCTAAAGGGTAGTTGAAGATAACACTGCATAAATATTATGTGGCATCATTTGGCAGAAGATTCTTTTTCATAATGATGTTGAACGCTCTACCGTAAGTAATCATGTATTGTAAGTAATGTTGATTCAGGTCAATGTACAAATTTAAAATGCTCCTTAACAGTTTAGATATGCCTACCTAAAATTCAGTCAGCCCACTCAAATTGTGATGACAAGGGCTTATCTTATATTTAGATTATTAGATGTGCACAGTTGCATAATAATATATTTTGTGGGGATGGGGATTGTTCAAGTATATACTGGTGTAACTAGGCTTTTGTGCGAATAGAAATTTTTCGATTGATTTTTTATCTGAACCAGCGAGATTGCTTGTGATTCTGAATTCTCTAAATATTTATGTTTCATTTTCTAGGAAGTGGTTTTTCTTTCCCCCAGTTTATTGAAATGCTAATAAGTCCCAAAAACTTCCCCCTTTTAATATGAATGTATCTACAACAGTTGTTGCACCAAAGGTTTTCTCGCTAGTTAGGCCCAACTTCTTCCACTTTTTTTGGTTTTCTTGTCCTTCAAAGTATTGCAAGTGTTATTGTAATGTTTTGAACAAATTTTCACTATTACAACATAAAACTAGAAATATACAAAGGGAAAAATACTTATCCAATAGAAGTTTTTTCTCATGCTACTCTCGGTTAAATTTTTGTGTCAACTCTTTTTTTTTTTTTTTAAGATGACCCCATCTCTTTTCTTTCTTAGGTGGAAATCATTAACTTCTCATGCAATAGAAGAAGTTGAAAGCTCATATATAAATTAGTAATTATATTTACTCTACGTAAATTTTATTTTAATAATATTATATGTCAAAGATGTTTTTGTAAGCGAGTATTTATTTTGATACAATTGCCTATCTCTGTTTCTTGTTTAGCGTTTTGATACAGGCTCAAATCTGAGAACTTGGAAGTACACTAAAGTCACATACATCTAATGGTGGATTTGCTCCCATCTTTTAATTTAATTTTATTTTCCTAGAAGAATCTCTTCAAATTTGAGACCAGTAGTGAAGTTGTGAAATACATGTTAGGACCCACAAAGATTTGAATCCATAGTTTTATGTCCAAACCACTAGCATATTATGTTATCAGAAACAGTACCTGTATGACGATTTGTCATAGAGATAACTTACTCTTGCATTTATCTTTTATCTGATTTCTGAGCCTTTCTTGCAACGCTTAATAAAGAAGTGGGGCATTCGTCATGAGCAGCAGGTTATGGCTGATTACAAGGCGTCTTGGGCGCTTCATCATCCTCACTCTGTCAATTTGGCGGATTGAATACTACTTTCCTTCCCCTAATTTATTGGAGAGGTTATACTTATTACTAAATAAGTTTATCACCTCTTACTACTTCTTTTATAATCATCACGAAATCAAATCATAGTAAGAGCCGTATAACCTTTCTCTAACTTTTTAAATATAAATAAAGATATGTTTTTAAAAATTTTATAATTCTTATATTTAGAATTAATTTTACTCACTATTTTTTCTTTACTTCTCTCATAATTAACATAAAAAAATAACTGTACAATCCCATGATTCCCATTCACTGAGAAGAGCATGCTACCAGCCTACCACCATTTTGGTTCTTTTGGCGATTTGGTCACCTTATTCTTCTGATGTTTTCTTTTGGAAGGGAAACATATTGTGAGACTTCACTTGTCCCATAATGTTTGGGAATATGCGGGTAATTTGCATACCGATTTTGTTTTTATTTGTCAAATTTATCATCATATATTAATAATATAATCTAATAATATGTTCACATACAAGGACTCTTTGACTTATTGGAATTTTTTGAGGTTTTAATTTATTAATTTAGTATTTAATTCTAATTATTTATCAATTGGGAGTCATTTAGTGACGCGAGGGGAACTTAGCGTCACTGAGTGTCGCGACCCTCCCCCCGCGTCACTTACATATTCTTTTTTTTTTTTTTCAATTGAGTGATGCCCCCTCCCCTGAGCCACTCGTAGGATTGTATCAAGTGGCACAATCTCATTAGTCTCGTTATCGTAAAACTTCGGAAGACCATAACTTCTGACTTGGGTATCCAAATTAAATGATTTTTTTAATTTCACATAACTTTTTGAGATCTACGCAATGACACCTCATTTGACATATTTTATCTTCCATTAACATAGTTCAAATTTGCAACAATAGTTTCACATTTTTACAAATCCGAACATGTTTGTGAGAGATAAAAATGTCAAATGAGGTATCATTGCATAGTTCTCGAAAAATTTTGTGAAATAAAAAAAATATTATCTGATTTGGATACCCGAGTCAAAAATTACAGTCTTCCGAAGTTTTACAGTAACGAGACTAACGAGATTGTGCCACTTGGCACAATCCTATAAGTGGCACAGAGGAGGGGACGTCACTCAATTAAAAAAAAAAGAATGTGTGAGTGACGCGGGGGGAGGGTCGCGACACTTAGTGACACTGGGTCAAAGAGCCCACATACAAGCCCTATAGGTGAAAACATGGTTATTTGGGTTCATATAGGCTAGAGCTCAATAGCTTGCATTATCTCTAGGGTTCCCTAAGCTGCCTAAGCTGGAGGTAACACTGTTAAGCATTCCAAACTAGATGTCTCTTGGTGTAATACTTCAAGCACCAACACTTAAGGGTGTTAACGGGCCGAGCCGAGCCGAGCTTTAGTCTTAAAAGGCTAAGCCTGTGTTTAAATATACCAGCCTGACCAAGCCTGTTACCTGTTATGAATATAATTATCGGCCTGTGGCATGATTTATTTACAAAAAATAAAAGTCTGGTTTAGCCTGTTTAAAAAATAAGACAACAAAAATTTATCCAAACAGAATATACAATCAACAACACTAGTAATTCTATAAATATTCATAAATTCAATATACATCTAAACAGTATAATATAGAACAAAATCATTCAAAAAGTCTATTTAACCAATAAAATGGGGTGAAATGGATTGAGGAGAGAGAGATACTAAAAGTAATATAAAAAATATAAAATAAAAATAAAAATTAATATACTAGGCGAGCCTGGGAGGTTCTAAGACCGAACTTTTGAATTGGAACCTGAGGCCTTTTTATTAAACGAGCTTTTTATACAAATCTAAGCCTGGTTCCAACAACCAATTTTAGACATGTAAGCTCAAGTATTCACGAGCCGAACCAAAGACCCCTGAAAGGCCTCTGATTCGCTTACCACCCCAACCAACACTGCCCCCAAACCCTTCTCTCTCAAATTCATTATCTCCACCATCTTCTTCAATACTTAATTTTATTGCCTCGTCAGGTCCATAGGATCTTCAGAGATACCCTACAAACCATTACTGGACACAACAAAATTTTTTGCTTGGGAAGGAGAACAGGCTTAATCTCATTTATTGCAGAATGGAACATTTTTTCTTTTGTTTTTGGAGTTTACAGAATGGAACATATTAACATCAGTGCTTGGTGGCATTATTGCTTTGGCAACTAATAGTGAGAAGAAAAACTAATAGTGAGAAAAAAACGTTATTGAAAGAACACAGGAAATGATTGAAGTGCAAAGATAAATGATTAATATTTCTTATATTATAAGAAATATATTTATTTTTTACAAACATATAAAAGTGTGTAACGTTTATATTTTCTTTCTCTTTTCTTCTTATATAGATCCCATATTCTTTTATGTGTGTAGAAAATAAATTTATCTATATAACTTGAGAAATACTAAACCCGAGAGATAATTAAGAGGAGCCACATTCGACATCCATATATTCATGTTGCAGAGAGACCTCCTTATTTCAAACATTGACAACGAGGCAAACAAGATGCTCAATATTTCACTTTATGTTTCCTTCCCAAGATGCTAAAGATTTGTTATTAATTACCCTTTGAAAAATTGCAGGACTAAAATGAAACAATAACATAATAGCTTTTTTATTTGGGAGTCTGTTTGGCTTATAATTGGCCGTCAAGGATTCGCATCACGTGTGTGTCGTTATAACAATAAATAAATAAATAAAATTAGATGACATGTAAAATTAATTTTAAGGGAAGGAGAAATTTTTAACTTTTTATTGAAAATAATCATTTTATGAGTAAGACTCACATATTTTTAGGAAATATATCTAAATTGTATTTAAAAATAATTATATTTTTATTTGAATAAATCGATTTTTATAATTAAAATTTAAAGTTATTTCTTAATATAAATTAATTCTTTTAAAATTAATTTTACTAAAATCAAATCGTAGGATTTAGATTTTACAAAATTAATATTGAAAGAATCGATGTTAAAAAATTGAATTTATTTAAATAGATGTTATATTTATCAATTATCATATTTTTCCCCTTGTAACCTCTTACCATTACTTTTATGATTATTGAATTAAAATCAAATCAATAATTCTTATTTAATGTGATTTTGTAATTGTTAATTTGATTTTAATCCTACAACCATAAGGTAATTGTAAGAAAAAAGAAGTTTTAGACATTTTATTCAATTTTCATTTTTCACTCACAATCAAAGTAAGGGATAAGTTATACTTATCACCATTTTTTCTTACCAGTTCTTACTATCAATCTTGTTATTGTTAGATCAAAATTAAACTAATGGCTCTCATCACTTGATGTTATTTTGAAACTATTAATTTAATTTTGATTCAACAACAATAAAACTGATAGTAAGAAGTGATAAGCAAAAATGTTAATAAATATAATTTTCCCCTCAAAGTAAGAGATAGGTTATACTTACCGGTTACTACCATTTTTCTTACCCCTTCTCACTATTATTATTTTCTTGTCTTTGTGTTGTAAAATTCAATGGGTACCCAATCGCTTGGTGATAATTCTTTGCAAGTATATATAAAATGGAAACTTTTATTTGGAATTACTTTTTTGCATTTAATGCTTCTCATATTATCTCCTACACATACATAAAAATATAAGAGGTCCATGTGAAGAAAAGAGACAAAAAAAAAAGGATCCTACATAGTTTTATGTGTGCATATAAGATAATTTTATCTCATAAATTAAATCTTTATTTTTTATAGGGAAAGAGAAAAAAATATATTTAGTGAGTATCAAGTCATAAATCATAACCATTTATTTACTTATTAATATATTTAATATTTATCTAGTCATTTTTGAGAAAGGCACACAACAGAATGCCCTAGAAGCTATGTAGCACCGATACGACACGCGACACGTGACACGACACGACACGACACTCCGACACGTCAATCCTAAAAAATTATGGACTTCGACACGTTGGGACACGTTTTAATATTAAATAATATTTTTAATTTATATAGTGTATATTTCATTTAATATTTAA